GAAGACCGACATATCGTACTGCTGTTTGTCTGAAATGCTGGGCTTCCCTGGTGGCTCAGTGGTAAAGAATCTGCCTGCCAATGCAGGAGACTCAGGTCCGATCCCTGCATCAGGAAGATCCCCTGGAGAAAGCAATGGCTACCCACTCCAGTATTCTTGCCTGGGAGGTCTCAGACAGAGGAGCCTGGCGAGCTACAGTCTATGGGACAAGAGCGGGACACAACTTAGCAACTAAACCAAACCTGAAACGTTAAAAAAAAAAACCTAATAGAAGAAACAAAAGAAATTCAAAGTGTGACGATAAGATCCTACAACAGAGTATCTCACAATTCACTGGGTTTGAGGCTCATACTCCGCTGTTGAAGGCAGAGTGTATCACTTTAGGCAGTTGTCACTTTAGGCCCTGAAGAATATCCATGTGTGTTCATATAACTTCCTTCTTGCATATATATATACACATTCATACATACATGCACACACACACACACACATCATCTGTTCATACAAATGAGCAGGATTTAGCTCTCAGGTTGACACCACACTTCCAGAAATTCTAGGCTGATAGGTCTGGGAAGGGGACCAGGGCACTACATTTTTATCATTTGATTCTAGGGCAGGAGGCTCATTACTCACATCTTACAAGGCCTAGGTCTGACATGCTCTGGCCAATAAAATGACTGTGTGATAGTTACAAAGCTACAAAGGTTTTCAAGAAACTGATCACTTTACCCTAAGGTGGGGACAGAAAGATATCCCTAAGGACATCTCGGTCACAGAGGAGTTAAAGAGAGAGGTTCAGGAAGTATCAGAAACTATCAGAAACCCCCCTCACCTTTTTTTCACCTCCTGTTCTGCAAGTTTGCAAAATCTTCAGTGATTTTTTTTTTAATGCAAGACTGGCTGACAGAGAGCAGCTTTCTGAACAGAAATCTGCATGTCCTCTAAATTCTCAGTCCCATGCAGCTGAAGGCAACCCTGGCTGCATCCCAGGTCTCATTAGTTTGCAAGCTAGCAGAGAACAGTGAATGCATTCCCCAAGGGATTCTCGGCTGTCAGGATACAGCAGATTACCCAGCTGCCCCCAGAGAGCCTCCCAGCCCTACATTACAGCAGGAACATCATCTCCACTTGCTTCAGATGACCTCTGCAAACCAGTACTTAAGAACCTCTGATTTAGAATCAAAGCTTATTTCTGAAATGGAAAGAAGAGGTAGTGTTTGCATAAGACAGGCTGTGCAGCTTTCAGGAAGAGCCCTGGGTACAGGGGAGGAGGAATGGGTGAGAGGGGTGGAGGGCATGCTAGGGGAGCTGAACTGAGCTTTTGCTCAGAACTCACTAAGTACTAATGCACCTGCTGCATCATAATGCAAAATCAAGCTTGGCCAGTTGGCAGGGGACAGCATAAGATGCTTTATAGAACCTTCGGGAAATAAGATATGCATTCTTTATGTGATGGAGGAGAAAAACTAGCTTCAACGAAATGCAGTGACTTGGCCAGGAGTTCAGGCCAGCATCTCTACTTAACAAGTGCCAACTTGTGCAGTGCTTGCTTCTGTTTTTCCTACAAAGCCATATATCCCTTCTGTCACTGTGGCACTAAAAACTGCCATGCTACCCTACACATTTCAGATTTGAAGGAATGGAAGTCAATTATGATTTCATCATGATTTCCTCTTAGTATAAAATAGTGTCGAATCACAGAACTTCTCTAATCTTTGCTTTTACCATCTGAAAGGCCAAATGTTGCCCATGATGGTAGATGTGTGGGGATAAACAAAGATGTTCATGTGTGAATGCTAAATTGCTTTAGTTGTATATAAATCTTTGCAGTCCTATGGACTATATAGCCTGCCAGGTGCCTCTATCCATGGACTTCTCCAGTCAAGAATAGTGGAGTGGGTTGCCATGCCCTCCTCCAGGGGAATCTTTCCGCACAGGGATCATACCTCTGTCTCTTATGTCTCTTGCATTGGCAGGCAGGTTATTTACCTCCAGTGCTACCTGGGAAGCCCTAAAAAATGTTCATACATATGGTAAAACACAATGGGTCCTTTAGGAGAGAAGCCCTAACAAAGTTGTTTGACCATGCTGGCACTGCTCATGTTGTGGTTTTTAAGTATATGTGAGAAAATGGAAACTTAAAACAAAATCCTGCTTTCATATAGTTAGTACAAAAGTTAATTTTTATCCCCAAGACCAGGCTTAGAAAGGAGTCCCCTGATACGAGTCCTGCTTATTCAATCACTCAACCCAAGATGAGTCTGATAAAATTAGAATCAGAACACAACACTTTCCATCACAGATCATCTGCTACTGAGGTTGAGGTCAAATCGCTCAAGCCATTCAATCAGGCTAATGAGACGAAAAGGAATTGCAAGTGAACACAACAGCTTGTTTCTTTCAGAAATCTTGGCTTCCGCAACACTTCATCTGGAGCAGAGGCAAACTTGTTCTTTTCCTACTTAGGATTCAGTAAACCCAGGAGAGAGCAGGAGAGGGAGGTTTCCCTCGTGGGATATGAACGTATGTAGGGTGATGGATAGCAGGGCAGATCGGGGCAGGGAGCTGTGGTTGACTATGGGAGACCCTGAGAAACTGAGATGGCAAGCTGCTGCTGAATTTTAAATCACTATTGACACATGCTTAGAGTGCAGGGATGTTTGACACATATATGGGGTATGGAATATAATAACTGTGATTTTTCAGGAGAGTAGATCTCTAACAAAAACCACCTCATAGAATAAGCTGTGCAGAATGATAACTGTCAGGTAGGCAACCATTCTCAGCAAACATTCTTTCATTTTATTAGTATGGCAATTTATTTTTGTTACTATTAACCAAAGTTTGTGATGTAGTTTTTAAATGTTCTGGGCTTCCCTGGTGGCTCAACTGGTAAAGAATCTGCCTGCAATGCAGGAGACCTGGGTTGGGAAGATCCCCTGAGAAGGGAACGGCTACCCACTCCAGTATTCTTGCCTGGAGAATTCTGTGGACTGAATAGTCCATGGAGTCACAAAGAGTCGGATGTGACTGAGCGACTTTCACGTCACTTCACTTTTAAATATTTTAGGATTACTCCTAGCATATTATCACTTGTGCCCCCATAAATACTGAAGTATAGAGAAGGATTGCCTCTCAGTAAGCGGCAACTCCAGGCAGACGGTCTAGGACAGCTCAGGAGCGGCAGTCAGCAGGAAGGGAGCTTGAGCCTGTGTGGTTGCACAGCTGGAGAAATGCCCTGCCTCTAACCTACACGTGTGCATTCCTTCAGGATGATGTACAAAGACATGGAGGGGAGTAAGGGCTGACGGCTTCCTCTGACCCCCAGCCTACGCTGGCACCTATAATAACCTAGTGACCATGGGCTAGGATTCCCCAGCCAGGGAGAACTGAGTCTGAAGCCTGGCCCTGCAGACAGTAGGTCTGTAACCTGAATGGGCAACTTAAGCTTTCTGAACTGCACAGTTCTTTGTAATGCAGTCTTCCTTTGAGTGCCTACTTGATAGGGTTGAACTGAAAAGAAAGGTCATACACCTAAAGAGTAGGTTTAGCACAAACCCTGGCACATAGTAATAGCCTAACAAACAGTAGCTGAAAGAGGGAGGTGGAGTTGGCACAGGCGGCATCTTGCAGAACTCTGCTTAAACTCAAAGAAGGATGAGTGTGTTTCTTCGAAGCACTTGGGTCCTGACTGCACAGGAGATGAGGATCAAAATTGACTGATAGAGCAGGAAACCTCAGTACCGAACCATCTCTTGGGGATCCCTAAATAGTCCTGTCCTCCCACTGGACCACAGCAGCTTAACAAAGTGTACTTGGTACTTTGTGTAGCTAGCTTGCTTCAGTGGGCAAGGGTCAGGTAAGAGGCAAGGAATACCACCCAGCCTTAAAACTCCTGACCTAGAACTTGTAACTTGAACAGGACCATTCACACAGAGGCTAACTTTCATTTGAAAGTAAACCATTTCTCCAGCAAACCAAGCAGGTCCCCTGTGCCTCTTTGGGGACAACCATGCATGCATGCATGGTAAGTCACTTCAGTCGTGTCCGATCCTATGCGACCCCATAGATGGCAGCCCACCAGGCTCCTCTGTCCCTGGGATTCTCCAAGCAAGAATATGGAGCGGGTTGCCACTTCCTTCCCCAATGCATGCATGCATGCCAGGTCGCTTCAGTTGTGTCCAACTCTGTGTGACCCTATGGACAGCAGCCCACCAGGTTCCTCTGTCCATAGGATTCTCCAGGCAAGAATACTGGAGTGGGTTGGCATTTCCTCCTCCTGGGGACAACCATACACCCTAGCATAAGAGGCATTCACAGCAAACCTTTTTTCACAAAACACAGCTTGGGAGTTACCTTTGTTTCATTAGGAGCCCTCTGAATTCCTCAATGGGGAAAACGCTATAACACTTTTTGAAACTGTGTCTTAATGCAGCTTCCTTTATGTTGTTTACCCTCTTTCACTCTATACCACTTTCTAAGACCAAATCATCACAGAGCAAATCTATGAAACATACTTAAAAAAAAAAAAGGAAAACAGAAGTCTAACATGATTATTATTAGTGAGATAAAACAAGGAAAGAGAAGAATAAGCAGAGGGGGAGAAATCCCATTACTTGTGATAATCTGGATTGTTCTCAAACATTTCCGACCCAAAACACCTCAAAAATTCATATTAAGTCAACCAGCTCAACAGGTTGCTCAGGCCCAGCACAGACAACCAGTATCATCTCTAAGAAGCATCTAAAAGAGGCAGAATCAGTGCAAGAGAACAGTCTGAAGCAAACCAGAGTCTGGATCATCAGTCAAGCCCTGGTTTCTTCTTGCTTTCTCTGTACTAGTTATCTCACTCTCCTTTCCTCACCTGCTAACAGGTAACTAGGGAGCTTCTTCTAGATACCTGATTTTGGATTATATATATATATATATATTTTAGATTATATTTTTAAAGGAACATAATATGTAAGATATGTCATAAACCAACAACAGTAATAACATACAAGTTACATGTAAGTACAGGACGGCGCTGTCAGACCCCAGACTGTTGTCCACCTGCACGGTCACTCGGAAAATGCCCACATTGTGATAGACGTGTTTGATTCCATCTTCCATGGAGCTGAGGTTGACATAAGACACTGCGATGCCATCCCCGAAGTCCACCTGGATGAGTGTCCTCTGGACGTCACCCTGAAAGACAACACCAGAGGAAGGGGGGTCAGCACGTGGCTGCTGCATCTCCAGGTCCAGAGCTTATCAGAGCCCCAGGCCCAGGGATACGGCAGCCTCGGGTCCATCCTGGGAGCCTGTGTCTGTGTGATGGGATCGCTGTGACATTCCCTGGAAGACAGGAGTCTACTAAGATGGATACTCTCCAAATCTGAAAGGCACCAACTCCCAAAAGTTCTAAGGTTTGGAAAATTGTTTGATTATCAGCTACAATTTGATATTCATTTCCTCCAAAGGCTTTGTTTACAGTCTGATCATCCACATGAATAAAAGGTTTCCACATACAGTTTTAAAAATTCAGCCTACCTGACACTGTCAAGGGTCACTTCCCATGTGTTCAGGATCCCCAAATTTCTGTCTTTATTTCCGGTTCCCTAACTGTGTTGGAGGAAGGACAGGGGGCACCTTGCCTTACACCTTACATGACACTGGACTCAGCCCTATTATTATTGATATTTAAGATAATAATGGCTAATTCTTTTATACTTTAGTGTTTTATACTATCAAAATGATCTCACTTTATTCTTTATGGAATCTCAGTCTGGAGAAAAAAAACAGGCAATGTTTGTTCACTTTACAGATGAGGAAGCTGGAGTGGAAGAAGGTTTAACCATTTGTTCAAGGTTACTACAGCGAGTTAGCTGCAGCAGTCTTGGGACTTGAACGCATCTCCTTGGACTTGCATTTCACTCCCTATAGGCAGGGTAAGCACTGACAGCTCCTCTGGGCTCAAATCCAGTCATTTCATTAACCAGCTGGATGACTTCATGTATGTCAAGCAGTCTCCTTTGGTCTCAGTTACCTAATCTGTGAAATGGGCATATTAGTATCTTCCTATCTTAACTCAAAGAGTTATTATAGAAGACATGTGAGTAATCAGTAACCTGTACAACTTGATACCAAAATGAATGACTGTAAAAACAATGCAGCTATGAAAGATCTGTTATATCCCTTTTTTTTTTTTTTGCTATATCCCTTTTAAAGCTTGACTGGAGTCATATGATTCTAAATTTCCCACAAGTAGGCAGCAGAAGATAAAGTCTGCTTTATAAAAATCCCAGACCTGCTAAAAAAATAGCTTGTGGAATTAGTTGAGATTCTTAAAGAACAAAGTTTCTTAGAAAAACTGACAACACCCAGCATCCCTCACAGAGAACTCATCCTTTAACAAGTTGTGTGTGTGTGTGTGTGTGTGTGTGTGTTTTGTTAGCTTTATCCATTTGGGGCAGGGTGGGGGAAGAAAACAAAAAACCTTTGAACTGGAAATGTATTTTCGATTAAGTAAGGTTCATACGGTATCATATTTTTTGAAAAGGGCAAGCTTAAAATGCTGACATTTAAAAGATTAATTCACAGGGAAAGGAAAAGCAGTTCAAATCCTATGAATCTGTGTGACCTACTCTTCCGATCTGTGCCCAGCCAAGCACTGTATTAGGGCGCACACAGCAGCTAACTCTCTGTAAGGACATGGGCACAAATTCTCCCCTATGGTGGGAAAAAAGAAACTCCATTCAAAATTACAAAACAGATAACCACAAGCCCAGACACTGTACAATTACCTGAATTCCCTTCACTAATAAATACAAATGTCAGCCACGCTTGCTGACTTGTCCTTCACTTAGACAACCAAGTTGGACTGCCCAATTTCTCATTCCGCTTCTGGTCAGTTTCCTCCAGTGTTTTCTGGATTTTCAACAGAGCTGCTGCTAGCCAACCCTAGGTTTGGGCATGGAGGCAGAACCCACATTAAAATCTACTACATTTTTGCGGGGAATAGTGTCTCAGGGAAATACCAGAAGTAGCTAGGGTTAACCAGAAGTTTTATCTATGGAATAAAACTAGCAATATGGTTTCTGAGAAAGAAAGAGGTTGAGAGACAGAGAGAGAAAGAAAGGTACAGGGTTCTTTCTGGAGATAAGAGTGGCCATCAAGTAGGGTTACCATCTGCAAGAAGACAGGAGGTTGATTCGTGTCTCTACTGATTCCACTTCAGTACCTGCAGAGAGAGAGCAGCTACACACATGACTGGGGCAAGTACAGCTCCGGCTGTCTCAGATGGAGTCTGCCTTGCCTCGGTCTCTCTGTCTGGTGTCCATCACTCTCCTGCAGACTTAGACTCAGACCCCTTGTCAGTGACTTGAAACTCCTCCCAAGTTCTGCCTGGATGTCTACTGTCTGACAGCCTGACAGCATTCCTGGTTCTCCACCGCTGACAAAGCTCCCTGTCTGGATCACAGGGGAAAGGAGGGAGCTACACACTGTTTGGGTTAGTGCACCAATAGGGCTGCAGTTAGAGTGGGGGTGGGGGGCAGGTTTTGAGAGTATACAAGGATGGAAGGTCCATCTAGTCAAGGCTATGGTTTTGCCAGTGGTCATGTATGGATGTGAGAGGTGGACTATAAAGAAAGCTGAGTGAGCAAGAATTGATGCTTTTGAACTGTGGTGTTGGAGAAGACTCTTGAGAGTCCCTTGGACTGCAAGGAGATCCAACCAGTCCATCCTAAAGGAGATCAGTCCTGAGTGTTCATCGGAAGGACGGATGCTGAAGCTGAAACTCCAATACTTTGGCCACCTCATGTGAAGAGCTGACTCATTTGAAAAGATCCTGATGCTTGGAAAGACTGAGGGCAGGAGGAGAAGGGGACGACAGAAGATGAGATGGTTGGATGGCATCACCGACTCAATGGACATGAGTTTGGGTAAACTCCAGGAACTGGTGATGGACAGGGAGGCCTGGGGTGCTGTGGTTCACGGGGTTGCAAAGAGTCGGACATGTCTCAGCAACTGAACTGAACTGAACTGAACAAGGATGGAGATACAGATATATAGATATAAGTATATTTGGTTACCACACATCTGAGAGCCCCTGTGGATAAAGACATAGGATCCCCCAATCAAATGTGAAGTCCCCAAGGCCTTATGAAGTGGGTGGGTGCAGACTCCTTAGCACTTTGCAATATGTGACAAGAGAATCCAGGGGCCAAGTCTGACAGGCGATTCACCCCTGTTGTTGCTGTTTTGCCCACTTGGGTCAAGCACACTGGATCTCGTGCTTTCAGGGGCTCTCAGGTGCTTGGGAAACCTAACACAGCTGTAGCTGCATCACTTTGGGGCTTACTGTCATCAACCTCTAACTTTCTTGGGCTGCTATTACCATCTCAGGCAGGGATACCAATTTCTTTCAAAGAACAAGAAACAGGGCAAAGAAAAGAATGCCTAAGTCCTAGGTCACCATTTGATTAGCCATGCCTGCCTCACTTTAGTAGGCTTTCTGGTCATTCATTCACTCAGCCAGCTGACGGACACTTTTAGGTGTCTTTCTTGTGTCAGACTCTAAATGGGGAAAATTATGTTAAGAAATTTTAATCAACCAAACAAAACAGATGTGGTCCACACTTTCTTGAGCAAAGAGACTGCTAGTGAGACAAGTAGACTTCAATAATTATGCAAATAAAAAATTATTCTAGGGGATGATGTGAAAGAGAAATCCATGGTGCTATAAGCTTGTTCAGTAGGGAGAGGTGGAGAGTTGAAAATTTGACCCAAATGAGAACTGCAAGAAAGGCTACCCAGAAGAAGTGATATCTGAGCTGAGAGGGCCTAAGGAAAAGAAATTAACCAAACAAAGGACACGAGAAGCTGATATGGAGGTGAGGAGTCCAGGCAATGGGGGACAGAAGGAACCGGATGTGCAAGGGCCCTGTGGCAGAAGATGGTGGTACAGTTAAAGGAAGCTGATGATACAGACACAGTAGGAACATGTGAATTAGACTGGATGGGAGACAATGGCATTTCAGGACTTGTGGGCCAAGTTTCTGACTTCAGTATTTCTCTTAAGAGCAATGGGAAGACCTCAAAGTGATTGAGGTAAAAGTTTGAGGGAAGATGACAGGATAATATTTTTAATTCAAAAAGATCACTCTGACTACAATATGGAGAATGCATTGGAAGGAGGCCCGGGTATTCCAGGAAGCCAATTAGGGGACAGTTCAAGGTAGATGATAGGCAGATTGATATATGAGTTGCAACAGGAAATTGCATTCACCTTCCTGCCAAAATTAATTCCCATAGTTTACTGGTTTTGAAATCAGTGAATCTCAGTCTTTGATAACAACACCTCTTATAGAAATTAAAAGAAAAAAAATCTGATGCCCAGTTCACATCCAAGCCCATCTCCTGGTTTGGGGCCTTTGGGGAGGATGCTCGGTCCTGCTGTGGCCTGAGAAGGTCCCCAGCTGATGCTGGGCTGCACCAAAGGTTGAGGAACACTGGTCAGACTGTTGAACATTATTTTTTCTTGTGACTGAATTCATCTGAAGATGAATATAGTACAGCACAAGCTGATGCCATTGCTATCACACCTTGGCGTAATGATCAAAGTTTCCCAGTACGTTTTAGAATTCTTAGTGCTAAGGGTGAGCTAACAGAGTTCGGAATGGAAGAACTAAACTCATGGTTAGTGACTGATGCACAATCACAAAAGTTCCACAATACACTCAGTCAAGGTTAGTTCTCCAGGAAAACAAGTGGCTGGATAATATGAGGGTAGTTTGTATGAAGAGCTGAGATGTGTCCTTCAGGTCTGGCTGCAGTCTCAGGATCAGATGATTTTTTTTCCGTTCAGTAAATTTTGAAATTTTACAAAAGAAAAAAAAATTGAACACTGGACATTTCTAACTTGTTTGTTTGGCTGTTGGGACTCTGGGAGATAGCTAGGGCAGATGCTATTTCTATCTGTGACACCAGGAGACGAGCATGGACAGGTTAAATGAGATGCCAGAAGTCCCGCAGCTGGTGAGAGGCTCAAAACAGGCCTAAGATGACCTGTGGTTTAACTTATCTCTGCAAAACAGCCTTTCAGGAGTTTCTTTAATTGGAATTTATTTGTGATGCCTTTCAGAGAGAGAGAGAGAGAGGTGATAACAAAGGCAAGCGTCACTTTCTTTTCTTGTTAGATTCTA